GAGAGAGAGAGAGAGAGAGAGAGAGAGGGGGAGAGAGAGAGTGTGTTTGTTTGTGTGTGTTTGTGTACAGGAAAGTGCTCCACAACAAAATGTGCGTACTCAAAAGCTTATACTCGCTGTGAGGATTTGAAAGAAGGAAACGAGAGCCAATAAGGACCTGACAAAATGAGCTACTTCTCAGATTCGAGCCCTATGGAAATAGATACATCACGCTTATGGGTGTAGTTTTTACAATTTATAAGTATGAAATAGTAAAAAGCATGTCATACTTGAAGAATATGGCATCAATAGAAAATCTACCAATTTTACCCTAGTGTCGATTTTCGGCCAACATCTCCATTTGTGGAATGCGAGAAGTAACTCATTTGGTCAGCACGCCCCACAAATCATTATGACGTATGACAGACACACTTCCAGAATTCCATTTAGATACTGCTGTACTTTATGTCTATCTACCTGTCACGATACTGTGGGATCAGGGGCTCGTCAGTTTTTTGGGCTTATGGAGTTATTGGTATCATCTCAAAGCTTGTTCATTTGCTTTGTGTTTGATGAAACTAAAATTCATCTTATTTTGAATAGAGGTCGAGGAGATATCTATGATTGAAGGCGATTGGGGTCACTTAATTGATTGGTGTCAGATTTAAAATAAAGGAGAAAATGACCACCAAAATTTGGTGACTTCCACAGATTGTGTGTTCTTGGAAACTGCATAATATTAATTTAAACTTTTTTTAATGCCGTTTTTCCAGTAAAGGCTACATTAACGAGTGTTTATGAATAAACACAAACCGTGTTGAGTCAAAACAAAATAGCTTTTCAAATCGGTAACAATTGCTCCAAATAGTAGAAAATAGCTGATAGATTCTTCGATTTCATTGATTTGACGAGATCCTGATTTCATCACATTGTTACATACGATTTCTTTATGTTATAGAAGAACGACTGGTTGTTGTTTTTTCACGTGTTAGTAGTTCTTTGACACGCTTGCAGACTGGTTGTAAGGTAAACGTTTACCTAATAAAACAGCTAGGAAATGCTTCTGTTTCTTTTGTAAAATAGATTGGAATTCTGTTTCGTGTTTTAGTTTTTGAATATGTTGTAATTAATAAATAATGAACTTTTAAAAAATCTCATAAAAATATTTTGAAGGTGTGTACAGTAAACCATTTGTTATAATAATTGTTATTGTTGTCATTCTCATTTCTGTGGCATGATTCTATATGTATTTGTATATTTGGTCGTGTTCGCGTGTTATTCTCTCTCTCTCTCTCTCTCTCTCTCTCTCTCTCTCTCTCTCTCTCTCTCTTTCTCTCTCTATCTCAGTGTTGGTGAGTGTTTGTGTGTGTG